TAGCCGAAACTATATTAAAAACATAGTAAGGGATATGACGAAATTATTTTGAGGGAGTTTCGGCTGGCATCTTTATTATGCATAAATAATTTTTGGTCAAATGGCTTTCGGTCAAAGTCTGGATACGTTTATTAATATGATAATCTTCAGAATTTGATAGCCACTTTAACATATGAGACTAATCTGAATATTTGACGATTTTATAACCTTTCAGATGTAATTCTATAAAAGCAACTATATATGTTATAATAAGTAATCATCTTCATAACTGATATTTCTTTTTTTCTGCTTAGTATAATTATTATATAGTCTATTCAGAAAATTTTTATATAGATTTTTTGCTAGAATTTTTCAATCAATGTATTATATATATAGATCATAAATATCTCTATAACCATAAGGATAAAGACACTTCTTCTTGTCAGAAGTACCATCATTTCTCATCATATTCAAAACTTGTTTTGTACATGTCTCAGGTCTTAATTTAAAAGTTCTCCAAACCCATTGGATATTTTTTGCACTGTTAAATATGGAATAAGCAATTCTCTATCTAAATTTTGGTCCGTATTATATATAAGAAAACCATGCTGTAGATATACAGAATAATTTATAAAAATTCTATCAACCTTATCAGAACTAAGTGATGATACTCTTCCCACATTTTTTGTATTTGTTCATATAGGATTAAAAGATGCTATGTGTCTTTCAGCTGTTTTAGCAATACATTTATTTAGGTGATAATTTGCACATTCTATAGTATTTTCATGAATAGATACTAAGAAGTCACATATAGTGCAATAAATATAAAATAAATGCCTTTCAGCTTTAAATTCTCCATCTTTATAAAACCTTTCAGTCATATGGATAAATCTATTCTTGGAAAAGTATTTTGCATTATTTTTAAGAAGTGTCTTAAATGGATAACGAACATGAGAACACCACATTTCTGGCATTTCACCACTCACTATACTTATATTGCAGATTGTTAACACCTGCACTACTACAGGATTTAAACCAGAATAGTTGGTTTTAACCATTTTACAGGTGTAGAGTGTTTATAGCAATTGATAGCGAATTTGATGATTTATAGTATTTTCAGCAATTTATAGTAAGTATATTATAATAAAATATCAGATTCATTTTTATTCGATTACGCGAGCTGCCGAGTTTCTATAAATCACGAGATGATCGGCCAATCAGATTTCGGATTTTTTCTTTAGCATAACGGGAATTCGGGAAAATGATTACAAATAAATGCAGAAGCTGGATCTTTTCTGTATAAGCTCAGGTTAAATTTATCTCCCGAAATAACTGTGCATATGACTAGATTATTTTTTTGATGGTAGAATCTGGACAAGCTTGTCCGAACTCGTCAAACCTTCTGCTTCAAAATTTCAGCAATTACATAATAATTTTCATCCTTAGATTTAAGACATTTGATGGAGGGACAGATCTAATCCGTACTATGTGAACGAACATAGCATACATATACTGCGGTATATTTTAAAAAAATAAGTGACCATTATTAATTACTCTTGAATTAATTGCTGTGGACTACGCAGATGAAAAAATTATTTTAATACCTCACTCAATCCTCATAGTCTCAGCGTCTTTATTGCAATCCTAGATCTTAGATTATAAAAAAGTGAAAACCGTTCCCTCAGGGAACGATCAGAGTCATGTGATTTTTCTTGACGCATCCTGATCAAATATTGGCTTATTTTATTTGCATTGCCCATAATACAAAACGAGAAGTCACCAGTCATAATACTTTTTATTGTTCCAATCATGTAAAAATATACGCGGAACAAAGTATGACAAAATAACAAATACTTATTATTTATGATAGACTCACGTCTGCGTTACATTCAAGTTACATTTTTTCATTTTTATTTTTATTTTTCCGATATAAAACTTTATTAATATTGAAAAAAATAAATGCAAATTTTTTGTATACCATAGCAAGTCGATGTAGGTATTCCTTTATGGTAAATATAGTGTAAATATGTTTCTATACGCTTCATCCATTAGTAGTCATTTGAATTTGACGATTCTTTTGAACGCTGGTGTTCCAAATGTTTGACGACGCCATGTTTTAAAATTATCATTGGATGATTCCTCATTTTCGGATTCTTCGTTCCTATTCATTATTAGAAGGATCTCTTTGACTGTTTCTTTATATGCAAGCTAGAGGAACAGTTTTGAGTTAGACATTTTATATAGAAATAACAAGTAATATTAATAAACTTCAGTCATACCTGAAATGCAAATAGCGTGTCTAGTCCGCTTAAAAACATATTGCATGATTCAAAGGATCTCGGAAGTTCCACACTACCACCAGTATCGATCATCACATAAATCCCGGGACAAATCAAAGTCATTAGATAACCTGTCCATTTTGTGACTATTTATTACATGAGGAACCATTAATTAGATAGGATAAGATTAGCTAAAACATGCATTCCTGGAAGACCAGCTTCATTACCTATGACTTGCCAAGCAAAAACCTGATTAACACCGGTCTTAAGCAACATATTATCCAGTGAATCCTTCATAAATATTCCCAACCTAATTAGATCGATTAGGTTTTCCTTTTCCGTGTTATTCTTACCCTCTCCCGTCACTTCTCCAAACATCACCTCATAAGCAAAATTTCCTATTTATGTATGTTAAAGAAAAGATTAGAATGCCGATTGTTTATTTTTTTGATTTGTTTTTTATATATACCATTATTGACGATATTCCCAATCATATCGGGTTGTTTAGCTCGAGAAGGATCACCAACAGCAAGCTTTCGGACTTTTGCACTAGTACTAGACGTGTTTGGCCAAATTGTTGGATATATATAAGCATCGTGAAAGAAAATGCGCAATACAGGACTTATTAAATTCGCCACCAAAGTTCCTTCGCTAGTTTTTTCCTTCAATGAACGTAACGGAATTGTGTAAGACCTATAAAGTAGTTGAGGAAATTCTTTACCACAGAAAATTATTAAAGATGCCTGAATAAAAAAGAGATCAAACCTACAGGTGTTGAAATAAAAACTGCATTCGTTGGAAAAATTCTTCTTCTATCGCTGAGTCGAATGTTTTCGATAAAGAGTTTATAATTGTTTTACGAAGTTCGCATAGTCCACCATCATTATCGTCAAGAGCAATCTAAAGCATAATAATCAGCAAAGAGAATATTGCAAAAGATGATAAATTTAATAAGAGAAGAATAAAGACCTCAATATACTCTTGTAGTATTAGTTTTATGTCCCTCATCACTTTTTTTTTCCCAATAAATCTTGATTTAACGTCCTTTCTCAAATCTTCGAGTGTTCCCCTAGAAAACGTTTTCACTTGCATCTTTGAATAGTTATCCATCTGCAATAACAGAATATGCGATAGACTCCTAAATTTTTAAAAAAAGTAAACGTCCTTTATCAATAAAGTTACTAAAAAAGACTAAAAGGTATTCCACTTAGAAGTCCTACTTACAATATTTCGTGATAATTTTTCGTTATTAGCAAGTCCGAATTTTGTGCACGAGCTAACGCTTTTGACCGATATGACTCAAATAACGAAGAAATGTTCTTTGTTTTAAAAACGAACTATAAAACGGTTATTGATTTAGCGAAATCATACTTGCAGTTTATGTTGATAAAAAAATACTTACAGGTTTATCCCCTTGATCGATGTATTCTTCGAACCCAATTTCTTCCACGTCTAGCCTTAATTTGCCTTCCTCATCACTTTCTTCGGATTCTTCAGATTCGTCATCCACACTCTTGTACTTTGTAAACGTAATACCAATCGGTTGAGCCGAAATGAAAAGAAAAAAATACATAAACAGAATGATATCATTTATGTCACCGACCATATCATCACTAGTTCCGGCACTATCATCATTAGTTCCACATGAGGTGCAAGACTTATCATCAGTCTTAGCCCGTCTCTTTGGTTTTGGTTCGTCCTCCGGATTATTCACCATTGAACTGTTTGGACAAGGCGTTGTGTACCCATCTCAATCTTCTTTGTAATCAACATCTCGTCTTCTTTTAAGATAAGTAGCTGACTCGTCCTATGAATAAACCATAAAAGTTTGTTGAATTGATGGATCATTTTTAACAATGTTACATGTAAATTGCCATACCAGTTCCATATTGACATTTTTCATAATATTTCCAACGCCATCTTCAGTTCCCTTTGTCATAACACGAGCTATTTTCAACTGCAATTCAGAAAAATCATTAGCCACATAATATTTAACAATATCAAAATCAAAGTAAGTATAAATTATTGACCTGGTCCAACTGCAATTGTTTTGTTTCGTTGGCATGCTCTATTTCCAGAGATTCACGTTCAACTTCATTCCAGAGTCGATCGATCTCCACGTTCTTACTTCGATGATTCTAAAGAATAATACATTTGTTGTAATCTTGTCTCATAAAGGAAACCACTGGAACCACTGGTGAAGCAGACCACAACGGACACTTTCGACCATAAAGTGGGCAACACGTTCGATGCCCACCGTAATTGCGTGAGTTTTACCCCCTTCTCGGGACTACTGGAAGTCTTCCATACTACATTCTTCAACTATGCATTCAAAAGTAAAAAGGAAAACTTGCCTCGAAACATAGTTTCAGTCGATTAGCGTTCTTTCTAACCTCTTCTGTACCATCCTCAACCAGAGAATCCAAACTCTTCTGGAGCCAATAGGCTTCTTTCTGAAAGGAAAACCTGAAACCTTCTTGCTTTTGACGGTGTTTATAAAAGCCCCAAAAACTATATTTCTCAGGTGGCGTTTCGTCGAAGTAGGAATCCCACGTCATTGTGCGTAATATGGGTTCTGTGCTAGGAAAATGACTTTTTTATTAAATTTGAGATTTTTTGTGTAGCTTAACCTATAGCATGAGAGCAGAGGATATCAAGTTTTTCGGATAAGTATCCGGTTACATAAAAATTTACCGGATTTTTTTAAAAAATATCCGGTTTTATCGGATCATCATAAAAATTAAAATTATCGTTATGATTTACGAATCAAACAAGTTTATTAAAATTTAAATTCTTCGTTTACATTGTGAATT